GGAAATCCAGTATTTGATCCCTCATTATATGAGAGTCTATCGAAAACATCATTATTTTGAAGTCTGCCCCTTTCTTCCCGAGGAGAATATATTTCTTTCCTAACCCATTGTTTCTGATTTCTACTAGCGCCAGAACCAACAGATTTCTGCTGACTTTCCTCCACCGTGGCTTGGATGGCTTGATCTACTTTGTCATCGCAACTTTTATGATGATTCTCTATTTTCTTGATCTGTCATGCCCTGAAGGCTTTAGCAGCTGATCTGTCGAACACCGCACTGCATCGTGGACATAATGTCACACCTTCGTCCTTTTCTTTCTTTCTATTTAAAAACTCGACGAGGGAATTTTTTTGATCGAGGATAAATCTCTCTTTCGAATTCTTTCTCGAACTCGCTTAGGTCGAACTCTATGTCTTCTTCTGACATATTCATTCTAACATGTCTGGGATCAATGTCTTCAGTAACATCGACCATACCTATAAAGGTCGAATTCATCAATCGGACATCTTCAGTCATGCCCGTTTGGGACTCAACATACCCTACTTGAACTTCGAATGGACTCGTATCCACTTTCATTGACATCTCCTCAAACTTCAATCTTCCTTGGTCGATCGCATCTTGGATCGTGTTCCTGAAATGTATACAATTATTAGTCCAATGTCCATAGGTATTATGAAATTTGCAGTATTTTCGACCATTTCTTTGTTCTACAGAAGGTAATTTATGATCATCACTCAGCTTAATCTGTTTATCTTTCAATAAAATATCGAAGATTTTATCTGCTTTTGTTACATCAAAGGTATATGTGCGATTTGTCATTTTGTCTTTCACTTCATTTCTCTGTAACAGTTTATAAATATATGGGGCTCCTACTTTGAGCTCCGCTATATTTACTTTCTCATCGACGGATTCTTTCATATCTCCTTCTATCTTGGGATTTTCCTCATATATATCATTTATATACGCTACCTTATCTTTCTTCAAAGGTTTCTCAAATTTCTTGTACCTTTGTTTCTTGTATTCGATTTGTTCCACTCTTCTCACTTTATCAGCTAACTGAGCCATATCATTCAATGGTAAATTAACTAACTTTTTCCTAATCGAGAATTCTAAGCCTGCAGAGGCCATTCTGACTAACTCAAATTCAGGAATTTGAGTAAAACATCTTGACTTCATTTGTCTAAATCTATTCAAATAATCATCTATGCTTTCATGATTATATCTCTTTATATTCATTAAATCGATAAGACTCACTTGAGTTTCCCCCCTAAAGAATTGCTCATGAAAATTTCTTTCCAGCTGCAACCAATTATATATTGAATTAGGTGGCAACGACGTAAACCACGTGAAAGCATTCTTTGTTAATGTACTAGGAAAGTATTTCATTTTTAATTCCTCACTCATCGCTAGGTCTCCACATTCGATTTGGTATCGCACCACATGCTCGATAGTGGATTCGCCAATTTCTCCAGCAAATTTGGTGAATTTAGGTATTTTGTATCCTCGTGGTAATTCTGTCTCGAGAATCATATTTGGAAAAGGAGAAACAAAGTATGGTTGATGAGGTGGTCTTAATTCCCCTCCTTGAGGATTCATCCTTTGTCCCATCAGATGATTGTACTGCATGCTATTTTGATTATACATATTCTGACATCCCTCATCAGTCCTCACATGCTAATATTGATCATTGTTTCGATTTCTCCTTAATAAATAAAGGGGATTGATATTAGCATTTTGGTTAATATTCTGATTGGCATTATTTTCGACCCTTGTTTGTCGCGGTATCGCCAATGCATCTCTGATACGTGACATTTGGTCTGCTAATATCTCAAAACTAGTGGTAGTGTTTTGAACTAATGGATTTAGTACTGTAGTCAACTGTTGTGATAACATGCTAACCATCTCGAAATTGCTTTCGTCCATTTGTTGTCGAAGTACTCCTAATGAGTTACTGGAAATTCCAGTACTAGTGTTTTCGATAGTCTCAAAATTGGATCGATGATAATCTCTATCGAACGTATATCTCCCGTGATCCAGGTTTACTCTGTGATCCGGGTTTGACACTGGAGGTGTCTGTTGTATCCCTAAATTTTGCAGATTCCCTGAATTCTGGGGTGTTACTAAATTTTGATATACCCTTAAACTTGGGGATACTCCAAAATTTTGAGGCATGCCTAAGGTTTGAGACATTCCTAAGTTTTGGGGCATTCCTAGATTAAATCTCGTACTTCGTTGTATTGAAGAAGTACCAGCCCCATTCATATTATTAATCGAAAAGCCAGGTGGTCTTACACTCATATGCGGGCCTGCATATGTTGTTACGGGATTCCCCGTAGTTTGTGTATTGTTTGACATTACAGTGCTAGACCCTAACTGAGTGTTTACCGATGCGCCTGAGCTTTGTTCAGCACTCATAGGTATCGACGTACTCACAGTTGTCGATATTACGGGCATATTCCCATTATGAACTTGCCCCCCAGTGTTTGGTAAATGTGAACTATTTGGAATCTCATTGTTATTCTGATTATGTGGTGTATTTTGACTCATTCTTAATACTCGCCCACTCCTTAATCTCATACACTTTCGAACTAACCACTTGTTTGTGTTTTTCGACACAACTCCCCCTACCTGGCGCGCCAATTTGTTTCCGGTGAAAATTTGATCGATTTCAATTTCTCAAAGACGTAGGTTCTGACCAAATTTCGACCACGTAGATTCTTTTTACTTAGGCTAGCAAATAGTTTTCAATCGAAACATGTATGAGAATCGAAAATTCCGTAGTGTCGAGAAATGCAAAATATCATACGGATTGACAATCGAAAGTACTATCTATGGTATTTTTCATTAAGAAACGTGAAGTAAAGAAAGCAGTAAAAAGTGTCGAATCGAAAGATAGTGCAGAATATTAAATTGCAGAGAAATGTAAAGTGCAGAAACCTCAAATTTGCATTAAGTGTAAATGGCAAGGAATCAAAATTGCAGAAATGTGAATAACAGGAAATCGAAATTGCAGAAATGTAAATAGCAGGAAATTAAACGCATAACCTTAACTTGCATAAAAGTAAATGACAAGGAATTGAAAGAACAGAAACTTAAAGTTGATAAACGTAAATTGCATGAAAGTAAATTACCAGGGAAAGTAAAGAAAGTGATAAAGATAATCAATGAAAACGGAAATCTAGAGCATTAGAAACTTCATGATGCGTCGTTCTCCGTAGACCGTTCACTTGCGCTTCGTTGTCTCCGCCCCCCCTCTTTTTTTCTCTCAAGTCTTTGCTCTATTTATAGAGCACCTTTCAAGTAACCTCCTAAGAGCAGTTAACAAAACCGCCACCACGATCCAACATGCACGTCCCTTAGTTCTACGATTTGGAAAACTGCATTCCACGTTCCCATGCATGAGATAACCGCTCCCTTGATCTTCGATCTCTGCCACGGTTTAGAAACCGCTTCCCATGTTCTATGTGCGCGTTAACTGTTCCCTCGATCTCGATTTCAGACATCGAGTACTTTGAATTGCTTTTGATTCCCTTTAATCTTAACATTACACTAGATTCTAATTTCTCGATTCTTTTCAATAATAGACATTGAATATTCTTCCTTCGATTCTCGATTCTAATTCTTGATTTATATGTGTTTTTATCTTGTGGTTACCAGGTGTCTTCTGCTTGTCTCTTATCAATTTTTTAACCAACCATATGATCTTCAATATTCCTCTTTCTTGTTTATCGATCCTGGTATCAATTTTTATTTTACTAACACTAGTATAAGAAACCTTTAATCCAAGAGAAGTCAAACCAATTGTAGTATGGTTATTATGGTGTGACTGTGATAAGTTCCAAAGACTATACTTACCGTATTCGCACATAATTGTTGCTTATAAACACACATCTTGATTTGACCAACTACATAAATCTTGTATATACCTTAACACAAGTTGGTAAAGTCTATGACAGTTCTGAAAATTAAAGAACGAAGATTATTTGTCATCTTATACGAGGTCAATTTTGAGCCCAAATTCAAAATGAAGAGAAATGTAAATAATCATCCAAATTCAAGTTGAATAAGAATAGAAATGGATATAATAAAAGGTCAAATCTCGTTCCAAACTTTTTCACTTTTTCAGAAAGCTAGTTACACTAGAAGCACGTATCTTAACGATATTCGTCCAAAAATTAAAATATTTCATATATCATGCTCAATTATGTATTATTTCTTTATGTTTTATTTTAAAAAATAAATTTTCAATTATATTGTTTTTTATAATTCAAATATCTTATTCTAAATGTTATCTAACATCATAACATTATTTTTAACTGATCAATTGAAACAAGTATAAATTAACTTTCCTTTATTTTAAATACTACTTAACCATAATAAATCAAATAATTTTAATGTTTTTAATATATTTATCTAAATATACAAATATATAAATATATTAATATTTAAATGTACAAATATTAACATATGTTAATATATATATATATATATATATATATATATATATACTAATATATTAAAATTTAATTATGTAAAAATATACAATTATATCAATATTTAAATATATAAATACTTAAAATATGTAAATATATAATTACTAAAAAATGTTAATATATATATATACAAAAATATCAATATTTAAAATATGTAAATATATAATTACTAAATTACTCTTATTATATAAATATATATATATATATATATATATATATATTATAATCCCTCTAAAAAAATAAAAATTAAAATATTGCAGTTTAGAATTCATTCCTTGTCGATGGCAATTTCTGATTCTGAATTCGGTTTCCCATAAATCAAATTCTAATCATCCAGTAAACAAATCTATTTAAATAATATTTGAATAAATAAAATGAGAGTGAATCCATTTCTTTTAATAAATAATTTTTTAATATTATTTTAAAAAAAATCATTACAAGCCAGTGCTAATAGAATGAGAATATGACTATCCTTTAAACAAAATCCAAAATTTGCTAACCCACATTTTAAACTTCTAAAGATGAAAACAACTCAAAGTCATATACACAAATGAAATATTATACATTTGCAAATGTTCACTATAAAGGAGATTAAAATAAATAAACATTTTACATCATGAAATATTATTCTGTATTAGTTTCAATGTTTGAAGAATAATTAGAAAAGAACTAATAAATTCACCTGATTTTGTTTGCTTAGAGTCTTTTGTCTCCTCATATGGATATAAGGAAAAATCTGGAGGGATTTCCAAGTTTTCAATGTCTTCTTCAAGCATTTCCACCACTTTGGTCATCGAGGGACGATCATTTGGTTTCATTTTTATATACCAAAGTGCAACTGTCATCATTTTCTTCGCTAACTTCTTTTCCTCCTCTGTGATATCTTTCATTTCTATATCTTTATCTTCTTTAAGGTGATCATAAACCCATTCGGGAAAGTACATTTGGCTTGAATGCTCTGCTTGAGCATTTAAGTTTTTCCTCCTGCTCGCCATCTCCATTAAAAGCATTCCAAAACTATAAACATCAGACTTATAGGATATTCCACCAATATTTTTATAAAACAATTCTGGAGCCATATATCCAATTGTCCCTCTTGCCGCTGTCATGGTGACAATGTTATTATCTCCAGGATATAACTTTGTCAAGCCAAAGTCAGAGACCTTTGGAATGAAGTTATCATCGAGTAAAATATTATGTGGCTTGATATCAAAATGCAAAATTTGCATCTCCCATCCATGGTGAAGATAAACAATCCCACGAGCTACTCCAATTGATATATTATATTTTCTCATAGCTTAAATCTACACTTCTATCTTTAGAAAAAATAATTTTATCAAGAGATCCATTAGACATGACTTCATAAACAAGAGCACGCTTTGAACCCTCCACACAAAATCCAATTAACTGTACTACATTTTGATGATGTATTCTTCCGATGGTGGCAACTTCACTTATAAAATCATTTCCATTACTTTTTGATTTACCTAACATTTTTATTGCCACATAAGATCCACTACGCATCTTTCCCTTGTACACAGAGTCATACCCTCCTTCACCCAATTTTTCATTGAAACCTCTCACCATCTTCTTGATCTCCTTGTATGAGTATCTGATAGGCATCAAGTTATTCTGCTCCAAATACTTTTCAATATTTTTATACACTGACAAATGCCTTTTGTGCCATTTGTATATCAAAATCACAATAAGTAATGTCACCCCAAACAAAATTCTGACTGCCAACAACAATGGTGTCCTATGGTGAATGATACCCAGTAAAAGTAAGGGGTTACTCCATTTAGTTTTCCTTTTATTGTTTCATATAGTCCTGAGAATTAAATCACGAATATAATTGTATTTCAATAAAGAATGATAAAGAAAGGATATGGAGTGTAACAACATATAAGTATAACTTCTTCAAATGCATTTTAAAAGATAAAGTAGAATTTTTAAAAATTAACTAAAAAAATCAAATATAGTAATCTTTTACTTAATTTTAAAGCTTGTTATATAATTATAAGACTACCATGTACAAATTATTATAATAGATGTTCCAGTGAAAAAAAAAAAAACAGCATATGACTAATAATTGTAGCATACAAAAGTAGAAAAATTCACCTGTTAAAACATCACGGGCCAAATCTGCAGGAAAAAAAGTATACTTGGATTAGTGAATAGCATGAAAAAAAATTGTTTGATTCTAAAGTTAACATCAGATATTTGTTATTACAATAACAATAATTTAGTTAATAAAATAACAATAAATTATAATTAATAATTTTATTTGTTATTATATTAATAAAATTAAGTTATAAAAAAATATTAGTAAAGAATAAGATGTTAATGTGTCATCATTCTAAGTGATTTATATATTAAAATAAAACATGAATTTGATTTTAAAGTTTAATATTAACCGTCAACTTAGTTAGCAATAATAATACCATTAAAAGAAAAAGTAAATGTTATTTCTAACTTATATCAATAAAGTGAGTTCTTAATGTTGTTACCAATTTAATCTCAACATCGTATTAATCTAGGAGTCAAATTTTTAGTTTTCAATATATATATATATATATATATATATATATATATATATATATATATATATATATATATATATATATATATATAGGTGACAATTTCATATTTTACATATATTTGTTAAATTAAGTTAATATGATACTATGAAGTCATTGTCTAAAATTTTGACAAATGCAAGTAAATAATTCTATTAATCTATATCAAACATCAAAATCAATTCATGTCAATACATAACCAGTGGCGGATCTTCATAGTAATTAAGGAGGGTTATGGTCCCCCAAAGTTTTGTAACTTACTTGTATATTTATGATTTTGGCCCCCCAATATTAAATATATCATAAAAAAAAAACTGAAGGAATAAATTAAATAAGAAAGATTAAAAATAATTTTATTATCCGACATTTCTATCTTCTCTCACTTTTTCATACTCTCTCATTAACGGTAATATTTTATTAGTATTTAATTAATTCTCTAATTTCTAAAAAATATATTAAATAAGAAAGGTTAAAAGTAATTTTTCATCTTCTCTCACCTTTTCATATTCACTCACAAACGGTAATATTGATTAATTAATATTAAGTTATTTCGTAGTTTATACTTTCAAATTCATTGTTCGTCTCTCATCCTCTCTTCTCAGATTCCATACTTGAAATTATATTGATTGATAAAGGTACTTTTTCTTCATCTTTTCACTGTTTATTCTATTTTGTTTGTTATTTTGATTTTTGTTGAAGAACATTTGTTGTTTGAGAAAACTGTTTTTGTTTTTTATAAATTTTTATGATTCTACAATTAGAAAATTAATAATAGATTCATTTTTCTCTAGATATGAAGCATAAAAGAATAGATTCATTTTTTAAAAGTGATAAAAGAGATACTTGTAGAGATGAAAACCAAACAAATTCAACATTTTCTCCTGTTTCAAAGCATGATATTGATTATCCAATTATTCAATTAGAAGAACCCCTTTCTAAGATTCATAGAATTAAAACTAATGAATTTAATATTAATTCTTTGGAGCATGACCCAGGAAAACGTCTTCAGATACATGAATATCCTTTGAATCAAAGAGATGAAATTAGAAGAGCTTATTTAAATTGGGGTCCATATCAAATACAACTTAAAAACTATCATTTTTCTAAAGAGAAACATCCTAGGAGATTTCAATATGGTTGGTTTAAAATGTTTCCTTCTTGGTTAGAGTATTCTCTAACTAGTGATGGAGCTTATTGTTTGCCATGTTATCTATTTAGTACACTGTCAAATGGTCGTCCTGGGGCAGATGTGTTTATTAGACAAGGATTTAGATCATGGAAAAAGATTAATTTAGGAAAGAATTGTGCGTTTCTTAGTCATATTGGAGATAGTCCTTGTTCACCACATAACAATGCAATAAAAGCATGTACAGACTTATTGAATCAATCTAAGCACATTGACAACATTATAAATGTGCAAAATACAGAAGAAGTTTGCAAAAATCGTTTACGGCTTAAAACTTCTATTGATATAATTCGTTGGTTAGCATTTCAAGCTTGTGCATTTAGAGGCCATGATGAAACTCCAGATTCAAGTAATAGAGGTAACTTTCTTGAGATGATTAAACTTTTAGCATCATACAATGATAAAGTAGCACAAGTTGTGTTAGAAAATGCTCCTTATAATTCAAAATATACTTCTCATCATATTCAAAAGGAAATTTTGCAAATTTTTTCTAGAAAAGTAAGAAATTATATTCATGAAGAAATTGGTGACTCAAAATTTTGTATAATTGTTGATGAAGCTCGTGATGAATCTAGAAGAGAACAAATGGCTATTGTTTTGAGATTTGTAGATAAAATGGGTAATATTAAAGAGCGTTTTTTTGATATTGTGCATGTTAAGGATACTACAGCTGCTACTCTTAAAAGAGAATTATGTGTTGTTCTCTCTAGACATAATCTTGATGTTTCCAATATTCGTGGGCAAGGATATGATGGTGCTAGTAATATGAGAGGAGAATGGAATGGATTACAAGCATTATTTCTTCATGATAATCCTTATGCTTATTATGTACATTGTTTTGCTCATAGATTACAACTTGCTTTGGTTGCTGCTTCAAGAGAAGTTATTCCAGTTCATCAATTTTTTTCAAATTTGGCTTTTATTATAAATGTTGTTTGTTCATCTAGTAAATGTCATGATGAATTACAAAGTGCAGAATTAGATGAAATAGCAAAATTATTAGAACTTGGTGAACTTGAAACTGGTAAAGGAAAAAATCAAATTGGCACTTTAAAACGAGTTGGTGATACTCGTTGGAGTTCACATTTTCATTCCATTTGTAGTATGATGAAATTGTATAGTGCATCTTGTTTAGTTCTCCAAAAAATTATAATTGATGGTTCAACTTATTCTCAAAGGGGTGATGCTGATGCTGCTTATAATATTTTGTCTGAGTTTGAGTTTGTATTGATTTTACACATGATGAAAGAAATTATGGGAATTACTGATTGTCTTTGTCAAGCTTTACAGAAACAATCTCAGGATATACATAATGCTATGCAGTTAGTCTATTCGACTAAAATTTTGATTCAAAAATTAAGAGAAGAGGGTTGGCAAGATTTGTTGAAAGATGTAATATTGTTTTGTGAACAACATGACATTGATATTCCTAATTTTAATTCTACCTATGTAGCACGCCATGGTCGTTCTCGACATAAAAAAGATTGTATTACAGTAGAACATCATTTTAGGGTGAACATATTTTTTATTACAGTGGATAAACAATTACAAGAATTAAATGATAGGTTTAGTGAGAAAATAATGGAACTTTTAACTTTAAGCAATGTTTTAATTCCAAATGATGTTTATAAAAATTTTAACATTGATCATATATGCACACTTGTGAACAAATTTTATCCTTTGGATTTTAGTGAACAAGAGAAGATTAATTTAAAATTTCAACTTCATCATTTTATACTTGATGCTCCTAACCATCCAGATTTGAAGAATTTGTCTACCATGCTTGAATTATGTCAATCTTTGACAAAAACAGGTAAGTCAGGTACATTTTACTTAATAGATCGTTTAATTCGTCTTATTTTAACTCTTCCTGTTTCTACAGCTACAACTGAGAGATCATTTTCTGCAATGAAGATTATCAAAACAAGACTGCGAAATAGACTGGAAGATGAATATGATCATTTATATTGAGAAAGAAATAGCTAAAAACTTTAGTTCTGATTCCATTATTGATGAGTTCAAACATTTAAAAGAACGAAGGGCACAATTTTAAATAAATATTTTATTTTTATTTATTATTATATATTTTTTTATAATTGCCCCCCCGCGACTTACCTGGTCAAGATCCGCCACTGCTCAGGATATACATAATGCTATGCAGTTAGTCTATTCGACTAAAATTTTGATTCAAAAATTAAGAGAAGAGGGTTGGCAAGATTTGTTGAAAGATGTAATATTGTTTTGTGAACAACATGACATTGATATTCCTAATTTTAATTCTACCTATGTAGCACGTCATGGTCGTTCTCGACATAAAAAAGATTGTATTACAGTAGAACATCATTTTAGGGTGAACATATTTTTTATTACAGTGGATAAACAATTACAAGAATTAAATGATAGGTTTAGTGAGAAAATAATGGAACTTTTAACTTTAAGCATGCTTTAATTCCAAATGATGTTTATAAAAATTTTAACATTGATCATATATGCACACTTGTGAACAAATTTTATCCTTTGGATTTTAGTGAACAAGAGAAGATTAATTTAAAATTTCAACTTCATCATTTTATACTTGATGCTACTAACCATCCAGATTTGAAGAATTTGTCTACCATGCTTGAATTATGTCAATCTTTGACAAAAACAGGTAAGTCAGGTACATTTTACTTAATAGATCGTTTAATTCGTCTTTGTCGCTGTCGTCAAAACGAGGCGGTCGGAGCGACGCGATGGTTTTCGACCCTCTTGATTTTTGTGTTTTTTTTTATTGGTGGCTACAACGCCTTTAGGTTGTCCGATAACCGGGCTGAACCTAGGGGCGAGGTTTTCGAAAGGGCGTTCTTGGGTTGTCCGATAACCGGGCTAACCCAAGAACTAGTTTTGAAGGGTTCTGTGGAGTTGCCACCGATGTTTTTACCGGAAACATTGGAAAAGGAGTTAAAAGGCGTTGGTTTTCGAAAAACCAACTTTGGTCGTTAGAACCAGAGTTGG